TGATCTCAAGGGCGCTGAGCACCAGCGCGTCGCCCTCCAGGAGCCGCCGCGGGCACGTCAGCGCGCGGCTATTCCGTGCAGTTGGGGCTCGCCCAGACCATGTCGAAGTGCCCCGGAAACGTAGTGTAGTCCCAGCTCCGGATGTCGCACAGGATGGTGGGCTCAAATTTCGACACGATGTCCAGGGAGACGACCTCCCAGCCCGCCGCCTCTCGGCATTTTTAAAGAGCAAGATCACCGCCACTACGATGAAGACTCGCGCGTTCATCGGACCGGATTTTTTCTCCGCGAGATAAAAAGCCGAACTTCGCAATGAAGCTTGCGCTCGGGCTGGACGTTCAGACCAATGCCAAGGGGGGGAAGTTCATGTCCATAGAGGACTCCCATCAGGGCGCGCTGGTGTGCAAGGTGGACGTGGAGGTGCTGTGGGAGCCCAACTTCCAGGACGACGGGGCCAAGAGGGTGGGCGTGTGCTTTGCGAGCAACACCGACCTGGAGCTGTGGACGGAGGAGGTGGAGCAGGGCGTCATCGACAACATGATCATCTTCCAGAAGCCCTTTCCGGGGGCCGCCCGCACCGAGAGAGCCAGCTGCCGTCAAGGTGAGCGCCAAGGGCAAGCACGTGAAGTGCAAGATGGACTTGGAGCGCCTCTTCTGGGACCCCGCCGGCAACCGCGTGCCGCGCCCCGCGGAGTTCGCGCGCCGCAGGGGCCGCGCGCTTGTGGAGGCCCGGCGCGTGTGGCTGATGGCCAGGCAGTGGGGCGGAGATGCCGAGGCGCCTCCAGTCGTGGCGCAGCATGGCGTCGAAGTCGGCGCACACCTCCTCCACGCTCAGCTGCAGCAGCTCAGCCAGCTGCCGGGGCACGCAGAGCGGCTTGTCCTCGAAGGCGCTCTGCAGCACGTCCTCGCAGGGCAGCTGGAAGCTCACGCTCCTCAGGCCCCTCATGCGCTGGCGCAGGAGCGTCTCCACCTCGGTCCTGGAGTGCGTGCTCTGGGTGCTGACCACCCAGTGCCCCTCAGGGTCGAGGAAGTAGGTCTCGTCCGAGAGCTGCAGGATGGGGCCGCCCGGGTCCAGCGAGGCCTCCACGTGTTGCCTGACCCGCTGCGCCACCTGCTCCTCCGTGAGGTGGGCCGGGTGCCTCGTGGCCCCGCCCAGCTCATTCACCGGCAGCCAGTCCCTGCGCTCGTAGTTCCGCCCGCTGCGCCGCCTGCCCCGGATGATCACCGGCACGTGGACCAGGCACTCGTAGTACTTGTCGCGGAAGAAGCCCTTGCCCAGCTTGGTCAGCCGGTGCTCTCCGCCCTGCAGGAGCGCACGAGCTTCTTCTGCCCGTTGCGCAGCAGGATGTAGTCGTTGGGCCCCTCGCGGATGAGGGGCTGGTTGTAGTCGAAGTCCTTGCTGGGAGGCCGCAGCCCCAGGTGGGAGTAGTAGTGCTGGCCCGCCCGGGTCAGCTGCCCGTCCGCGCGCGAGAGCAGCGCGTAGGCCCCCGGGCCGCGCCGCAGGTTCAGCACGACGGCGCCATCCGCCCCCGTGCGAGCCCGGGCGCCGCCGTCCGCGGCCTCCGTGATCTGCTGTCGTTGTCTCGCCCAACTTGCCATTCTTTTTTTACGGGGCCAGTTTTTTTTGCCCGGCCGCGCATTCTCCCCGATCATACGTGTTGTTTCGCACGGTTTTGCGCTGAAAAAATGCTATTACTGCAGCCCGTATATCTATATACGGGCTACAGTAATAGCTCGTTTTTGCACGTTTTTTGCATGGCATGACATTTGCTTGGTTTTGCATGGTGTTGCATTGCTTGATTGTGCTTGGCATGTACCCCCCAAACCCCGAAGTTTTTTGTCAGGCTGCCGTGCGTGGCGCTGGAGGAGTCTCCAAGCCGTGTAGGAAGTCTAGGAGCGCCGAGCAGGCGCAGTGCCCGCGATTTCCGTCTTCCTCCGAGAGAGCTCCTCGCCCGTGAGCTCGCGCCCGACACCGTAGTTGCGGCGCGTCCGACCGGTGGCCACTTCGGTTCGCAAATTCGTGAGTCTGCGCAAGAGAGGCAACATGTATTGCTTCGCCATGGCGAAAAGGTCGGAGTGCTCGCTTTCTGTCACGGCCTTTTAAAGTTTGAGCCTCAGAACGCGCGGATGAGAACGTCGGCGAAAGTGACGGGGGCAGTGTCAGGAAAGCGGCTCTGCAAAGAAGCGTGCTCTGCCAGGAAGGGAATGGGGGCGAGTCAGCTTCCGGGTTGGGTGGTGTTGTCGTCGGTTTTTTTTTCGGGGGGACGGGGGGCGAGTCAGCTTCTTCCGTTTGGCTTGCCCAACGTTTGACACATGTCAGGAAGGGATTTTGTCAGTAAGGGATTTTGTCAGGCAGGAATTTTGTCAGGCAGGAATTTTGTCAGGAAGGGATTTTGTCAGGAAGGGATTTTGTCAGGAAGGGATTTTGTCAGGAAGGGATTTTGTCAGGCAGGAATTTTGTCAGGCAGGAATTTTGTCAGGAAGGGATTTTGTCAGGAAGCGGGCTGTGCCAGGAAGGAATTTTGTCAGGAAAGGTTTTTGTCAGGAAGCGGGCTCTGCCAGGAAGGAATTTTGTCAGGAAAGGTTTTTGTCAGGAAGCGGGCTCTGCCAGGAAGGAATTTTGTCAGGAAAGGTTTTTGTCAGGAAGCGGGCTCTGCCAGGAAGGAATTTTGTCAGGAACGGTTTTTGTCAGGAAGCGGGCTCTGCCAGGAAGGAATTTTGTCAGGAAGGGATTTTGTCAGGAAGCGGGCTCTGCCAGGAAGGAATTTTGTCAGGAAAGGTTTTTGTCAGGAAGCGGGCTCTGCCTGGAAGGGGGAGTCAGCTTTGGAGTTGGGTGGTGGTGTTGTCGTCGGTTTTTTTTTGGGGGGCGCAGGGGGCCAGTCAGCTTCCGGGCTGTGAAGGGGAAGGGGGGTGAGTCAGCTTTGGAGTTGTCTTGTTCTGCGGGGAATGGAGGCGAGTCAGCTTCCGGGGCTGT